ACAGAGTTCCCTTGATCCCCTCCTTGCTGTGGCAGAGGCTGCTGCGGGAACCACGGGGGAGGCATTCCCTGCCATGGCTGCTGCAGGGGGAACCCACCATGGAATTGCCAATTGAAACCCCAGGGTGGAGCTTGCCCTGGAAATCCATAGCCACATCCAAAGAGGGGTGGTACCTGATTGATTTGCGGTGGTGGATCTTGCTGCCACTGCTGCTTCTGATTATGGCGATCTCCATCCCCACGCCCCGATCTATTCTTTCCTCTTCTTCTCCCATGGCCAGTGTCCCTGGTGTTTTCCAGTAGTGCGGTGGCGGCGGCTGGGGGGATTTGGGGTCACGCTGGATGGGGGTGGGGGGTTTTTGTAGCTCCGGGGAAACCCCAACATCAACCACTCCCCTGTTTGCAGACGGGGTCCGAGGCTGGGTTAGGTGAGTTCCATCCGCCGCCACCTGGGCTCCACTGGCATCTCCTTTATCACTTTGGTCTTGTTTCTGCCTCTACACGAAACTTAATCCATTACAGCCGCTGAACACGAGTTGCAGGGGATTTGGTGGCCTCACGACACTATCTTCGGCGAGCTTCTCTTCAGGGGTGTCGGCAAACCTCACATTTGAGGCATCCAAGGTTGGATCTCCCAGAAGGCTATCCACCGAGCCCTCTGATACAGACCCGTCACTGATCTCATGGAGAGCGCCCAGAAGATCACCTCTTCCGCTGATCTGCTTCTTCCATTTAGCTGCAGTTTGAATTCCTCCTCCATTGCAGCCACCAGAATCCTCGTCATCAACTTCTGCTGATTGTCTCTCCCTCGACATGGAATCCTGAGCTCTCTCCTTAGTCTCTCTCTGTAACTGGCAATCAAGGCTTGCTCTCGGCTGGCGCGGTTCCTCTCTGTCAGAGTAAGGTTTGGATCCATGGCAGCAGCTATGCTCTGCGTGGTACGGCGAAACAGCACCAAGCATCTGCCAAAATCGCACCTGTTCTTCAGTTTGGAAATGCAGCTCGTGACCCGAATTTAGCAAACCAATAGCCTCACAAACAGCACCAACCAAGCTGGCATAATTGTGCTGTCTTCTCCCCTAGCTCAAGCTCGCAGACAGTTGAGGCAACTGATCCACATTCACTGGCGGTGGGCAGTTGAGCTTCCTGAGAACACATGCCCAACGGTGATTCTGTACTGGGTCTGCGGATTTTGCTTCTGTCACTGCCCATTGGAAGATTTTGGCAGGCTTCTGCTTCCAGGGTTGTGGCATCCTGGATTTCTCCTCCTCCATCGCCTCCAGAACGATAATTTCCGCGAGTAACTCTGTCTCGAGGTCGATCCTCCTTTGGCAGATTTGCACATCGCGCAACATCTCTCCTCTCAAATTCTCGTGCACCATCGCCTTCTGTTTCTCCATCTTCACCTCGCTAAGGCACTGGTGCACCCTGCTCGCCGCATCCTGGATCCGATTTGTGCGCGCTGACCACCATCTCCAGCGCAGCACCTCCAATTCGTCTGGCGGGATCTGCCTGGTGGTGTCGAACGCTGGGTCGCCACGGTACGGGGGCTGCAGCACAGGCACGAGCGACTGCGAGCCCCGCGCGTCTTCTGCCGCCCTGCGCTGCCCAGGATCCATGCTAGATCTGGCTCACCGGCGTCGCACATATTAGAAATCCCACAGATCCGAGCGGGGAGAGCTGCACAACCGCGAGGATTGAGTTTGGGATAAGACTACCTAGCTAGGTGGGGGGCTTTGGGAGGTGGTTGGGAGGCGCCCACCGGGCGGTGAGGTCACGGCAGGGGTGGGGCGGGGCGTAGCGGGGGAGCGGGGGCTCTGAGAAATCTCAAGAACTCCTACAGATTTATGTCTTTTTAATGCGGGTTTTTCTTTTTAATGCGGTTGTATATCTAGACAGCTTCCTTTTACATTCGTGCAAATTCACTCTGCTTCCTCCATGTTTGTTTACACATTTAGGCAGCGACCCTTATATGTACAACGACGTCTTTTGTCTGTACAGTTTTGGCAGCAGCTCTCAACTGGTCTTACACCGCATAGCCTCATACCCTACTCGTATTTGAATTGGGGTATAACAGTTCGCGTATTTAGCAACTGCATAGAACGTCAATTCTGAAGACCACAGAGACACACCTTGCTAGATGGAGATGAACATCGTTTTTTTTTAAAAAGGATGACCCCCGGGCTCTGCATCTGGATGATGCATGCAATCAGTTTATTAATTATTAATGAAGAACTTACAAAGTAATCCATCAGTAAGTTTGAAGCCACCATCTCAACATTTGTCGCTACTCCTATCCACTTGATGAAGGGGTGCCAAAAATCCAAACCGAATACCAAACAGACTTCGCACCAAAGCCTAACATCTAAAGCCGGACGGGCCAACCAAGCCACAGTGACGGGTCTAGGGCACACACCGATCAGACGCACTCTCATAGGCGACCGCCACCGTCTTCCACCTATCCAAATTCTGAACAGGAACCGGCGCATCGACCTTGCCAGGCCTACCGTCACGATGCCCGACAGTACTGTCCTCCTGCGCGAGTCCGTCAACCCGCATCGGACGCCGAGACTCCATTGCGCCACCCGCCGAGATCCATCGTCATCGATGTGAAGGATGAAACCCCGCTCCAACTCTGGGCCCTTCCAATCAGTACCTGTTCCAAAACGATGCCCCTAGGAGGAAGAACAACATCGAAGGTCCGTAACATCCACTCATATGCTGGCTTGTTTCATGAGAAATGATACCACATGCAAAAATAACAGTGTTGCGGTGCTGATTCAACCCAACAAATGGCACAAATGGCAGATTATATTTATTGGTTCTGTATGTCCTATCAAAAACAATAACGTCTCTGAAAGCCTCGTAGTCAAGTCGGGATTGACTATCGCACCTGAACAGTCCCTTCAGATGGCCAACTTCATCAACCAAGTACATGAAGAAAAAGATCTGAATCTCGCTCTCGCCACGCCACCATGTGATTGATCACTGTTTGAGCATCACCGGAAACGATTGATTCCTGCTTGTTAGCATGGAAGAAATTGTAAATGTCCCTCGTCGTGCATCCAACCTCATCATATCCACCGTATTGCATGCACAAAATATTCATAATATGGTGTTTCCTGATCCCTGATTTTTCCATGTCTGCAATGTCCGCTTTCTGCTCATCGCTAATTTTTCTTTGTGAACGCAAAAGACACGAAAGATCCCGTGGGGCTAGAGGATGGTTGTGTTCATCGATGAAATCCTTCACAAACCACCGACCTGTTTCCTCCTGTCTTGCAAACACCAATTTAGCTTTACACCCTACACGAGTTATACTCCGTGGCATCCTCTTTCTATCTTCCATCTTTCTCTTCGTGCGCTTCTCTTCACGACCCCCTTCACGACTATACACAAATTTTCTTAAAATTATATGGCAGTTGGATCCATCCCACTCGACATAGCTTCTTCGGACATCAAAACCTTTCTCAAGACCATAATTGTTATAGAATCTATAGCCTTCATCCTCACTATGAAACATCTTGTTGGCAATATGATAGTACTCCAGCATTGACTCATGACTTATATCCGCCATGTCTTCCTGCATCACCATTCAGATGAGTAAAAAGCTCAAACGACAAACAAAAATGCATGCAAAAGCCAGTATGAAATCTTGCGTGGAATTTTAAACTTTGCTCCTTGTACGTGTTATGGCAAGCGATCATCAACGTCCGTAAACTAGTGAAGTGATCATGGATTCTAAATTGAATTGCATGCACTAGGGAGACCTAAATCGATGATGACTAAACTAATCTATGTAGGAAGTGCAGGCTACGGATCCAAGTCAGGTGAGATTCAAGCAATTCATACCTTAGGACGATGCAAGTCCGGAAGCGATAGGATCGACGGGGGGCGATTTCCTATAGCGCCGCCGCCGTCGCCACCGACACTGCCACCGCTTATGTGATGCCTTATTCTTCTTCTTGCTGCCGGGCACGTCTTTTATAGTGAAGGGGACGAGGACGAGGCTGACGACGGTGAATTGGTTCCTCTTGCCTGGTACGTCAGAGAGAAGGAAGGGGACAAGAACGAGGACTTGACCTCCTGGATCGACTAGATGTGATTCTGGTCGTGGACGTGATTGGTTGAAAACACAATATTTTACCCTAGACTTGCCTTCTCGGATTAAACTAATTGGGTTTATTCATTTTTAATCCCCAACCAGATCGGATGGCTAATTAAAATCAGAGGGGCAAGTACTGGAAAGTACTCCCAGTACTACGCCAATCATCGTAAAAGAGCTCTGTATGTATACAATGTCTTTTTTCTCTGCAGTTTTGGCAGCAGCTCTCAACTGGCCTTACAGGCTTACAGCCTCGTACGCTTCTGGTATTTAGTTTGTATAGGGGTGTCACAGTTCGCAGGTTTAGCAGCTGCGTGGAACGTGAACTCTAAAGGCCACAGATGCACACCTCATGGACCTTGCTAGATCGAGGTGAACATCTTAGTTTTATTTTTCTCTTCTTGATTTTTTTTTCTGGAGAGACGTGATTCAGGACCATGGTTCAGTCGAATTTATATTCTATGCCGTACGATTTAACATCGTACTACTCCCTCCGTCCGAAAATACTTGTCATTGAAATGGATGTATCTAGATGTATTTTAATTTTAGATACATCCATTTTGATGACAAGTAATTCCAGACAGATGGAGTACATGTGGATCTGTGATATGCATGCCAACCATATGTTTTAATCAACCATGCATGGATCCTCATGAATAGACATGCATGCCAACTACATTTTTTAATCAACCATGCATGGACCCTCATGAATAATGTCTAGAAATCAATGATATCGAGTGTATGTTCGGCTGAACCATGGTTCCGTACAATATTTTCATTTTTTTCTCGAATACTTCTCTTCTTATTTTTACAAGCCAAAGCAACACAGTAAAAATGCCAGATAAAATACAAATATAAAGTACCATACATGTGCCGGCAGCCCAGCACTCCGCAAATTATGTTGTATTGTTGATAGGTTCATCTGCATTTGGTTGCTTCTTCACACACGGCTTGTTGGTGTGCTCGCTTGCTGCTTCTTTCCACGCTTGTACCGTTGCATCATCTGCAGAATAGTGGAGTATGACCTCGTCGAGACATGTAAGATGCTCTATGCCGTCAACTCCCATCAGAGGCGGAGATTTCTCACAAAGCAGCTGAAGAGAGGTGAGGACGTGCATGGCTCCTTGTGCGATCTTCAACCGTGGATACTGCTTTGCACCCTCGAAACACAGGTCCCGGAGGGCTGAGAATCCACCACTTTGCACTGAGAAGTCCCCGTTCCAAGCTCCAGAGCGATCCTCCTCGCCGAGCTTGAGATATTCCAAGCATTCCAAGCTTTGCAGGGCTTCCACCAATATTTGGCTGCTGAGACCGGTTTCGATGAGGTGCAGTTTTCTGAGATTACGGAGGTCCTTCAGTGTACCAGGTGTCAGACTTGTCAATGGTCCCCGTAGTTTGATGGATTTGGCAATGCGAGGCTTTGAATTAGAAGCAAGAAAGAAGTTGCTGATACCAGCGGAGTCAATGGATATAGAGTGCAGAGCGGTTGAACGCTTCTGAAGAGAGAAGACCAAGGAGGCCAAAACTCCAGGTGATATTTTAGCCCTTTTAGATTCCCTCTGCGTGGCGGCGCCGGCGACCCACTCACCATTGGGCCTGGTACTTGGCGGGGTCTGCTCTACCAACTTATTGTTGATATAACATGCTTTGGAGGTCGGCTTTGCAGCTTTGGAAAAAATTCCAGACCAAAAGGGGGTCTTATCCCTACGGACGGAAGGTGGGGATATTGGGGCGGAAGTAGCAGCAACATCAGTATTCTTATTCTTCTTCTTGCTTAAGAAAGATGTGAGCTTGGAGCCGGTAGGGGCGGAAGCAGCAAAACTATCATCCTTGTTGCCACATATTCTAACCTTCTTCAGATTTTTTGCGTGCTGTATAATCTCAAAACCTTGTGTATTGTTGATAACGATGCCAGCAAGAGTATGCAGTTTACTATACTGCTTGAGGAAGTTTGTAAGAGCTTCTTTTTCTGCGTCAGCTAACGCTGGTAGCTGAAACTCGCCAAAAAGCCGAGCTAAATCTTTCATCATGATGACTTCCACAGGCAATATTGCCACCCTTGTCTGTCGAATGTCCAGCGTCTCTAAACGCTCTAGCTTCTTCATTTTTGTGGGAAGCTCGTTCACATCAGTTTTCCTGAGGCTAAGATAGTTCAGAAACAGCAGTTCACATATGACATCGACAACAGTAGAACTAAGTCCCTTGCAACCTTCGAGATCCAAGACCCGCATCATCTTGCAGCTCCTGAAATTGATGTCATTGACATATGTCTCACCCGGATGGTTACTTGTGAAGACCGTTAACGACCTGACAGTTGACATTTTAGTTTCAATTTCATGTGGAATCAGATTGCTTCCTCCTTCGTTGCTGGAGCTGGATCGAACACTGAGTCGCCGGACAGTCCTGTGAGGTTGGATACGCCGGACCTCGTCCCCTTCAACTAGAGTGACCAAGTTTCTTGAGATGGACTTGTTGATGGTAAACTCCCTCATCATACCCTGAACTTTACACCTCTTGGCAACACTGCAATTGTTGCGAATCGGTGCAGGCTCAATCAGACTATTGTCAATCAATCTCTTCCAACATTTAAGGGCATCTCCGGCAACCAATTCTTCGCCTTTTAATTTTCTGACTGCACTCTTACTGTTAATTTCATGACCCCTGGGGTATATGCTCAAATAAAGCAAGCAGTTCTTGTGATCATAGTCAGTCAGGTTGTTGTAACATTGGACAAACATTCTTTTCATGTCATCAAAGTCTATCTCATTGCTCGCCACAATATTATCAAGTTCGTGGCACATACCACGGTACCGATCTTCACACAGAGATTGGTCTTTGTGCGCCCGACATGGATAATTACATGCACTAACCAGAGCCAGCGGCAAACCGTCACATTTAGCCAAGATAATTTTTGACCGTTCCACCTCGGGAACAGTAGGACCCCTAGTGTTGGGGGCTAAAACTTTCTTCCAGAATAGGCTCTCTGAATTTGCTTCACTAAGGCATTGCATTGGGTACACATAGTAACAGCCAGAGCTGTAGTCCCTGGCGATGGAATGAACACTCGTGGTTACAATAACTCTGCTGCCTTTGTTATTTTCAGGGAACACATGTTTTATATCCTTCCATCGTACACGGTCTGACTGCAGATCATCAATAACGACCATGTACCTGAAAAGCATAAGAAAAAACAAACGATTAGAATAAACAAAAGGCTTGTCTATCCATCAGGTGGCAAAACAAATTCAAAATCTGGTCACTTCTATATGCCATTGGCCATCTTGACATGGCCCACAAATGAATTGACATGGACAACGTAGTGCCTGACCCCGACACGGCCAGTAGCCTCTGAACCGGTCTTCAAATAAGAGACACTCCTCGGATGTTCCGAGTTGTTCTTTGTGTTCTATCGTCGGTCTTGAGAATTGGTTCAACAAATTCTTCCGCATCTGATTCCTATAAGGACTTGGCCAACATCCAAGGTACTCCGGGTCTTCTTTGGCTTCTTGATAAGTATCTTGTCATCTTCGAGGCATGCCACAGGTCCGAAACCTTCCTCCGCAGCAGCTCCTTAGCAGCTAAGTATTCCCGCGCTCGGCATGTCATGACGGTCTGGTCTAGCACGGTCAGCCCAGACCGATCCCATCCATCAGCCCACGGCTGCGAGGCGCTTACGTCTCGACGGTCAACACGACGTGCAGACATGGGAAAGGACCACACCATTGTCACGTCTTGTCAAAATGGTAATCGTGCGCCTCGATACGATAATTCATCAACCACCACCCCCGAATCCCGCATGTCGTATGGGAAAGCGTGGAATTTACTATTGGGCGGCACGGTTACCCTATCGCCGCTTCGCGTATTACTCTACCTGTAAAAGTTCCCGAGGCGAGGAAGAGCCAGGTTTACGTGTCGGTCGAGGATCCTGGGCAGGAATTTGGACCCTTTCACACCATCTCCACCAAAGAATAGGTACTTTGTGTCTGATAGGTGGTCCGGCTACGCCAGAACAACATTACCTTAGCTAGGGGCTGTTTGATTTTAGGCCTAGCATTGCCACACTTTGTCACATATTTTTGCCAAGCTTGCCTAAGGTTAGTTCATCAAAATAAAAGCCACGAGTTGGCAAGTCTAAGGGAATCTTGCCACATTTTTTGTGTGTATGCCATGTGGGGTTCAAGTGCGGCTTGTCTAAGGTGTGGCTTGAACCAAACACTCACCTAAGTTAGTCAAACTTGCCTAGCTTTAAGTGTGGCAACATTTCACAAAGTTAGTCACAAACCAAAAAGCCCCCTAGTCTGATGGCGGTGGCACTCAGCCGAGTAATTTAGCCTCTCCAACAATGGGCTCATCCAATGTGGGAGTACAATGGCACAGACGATTCTACTCGGGCCATCCGAGGAGGGTTTTACGAAGGCCGATCTCTCCGGGACACGCTCGCTCTCATGTTCAAAGGTGAGACTATTCATAATGGGAGTAATATAGGTGAACATTCACACATATTTAGACAAAATAGATGACATGACAAGTAATTAATGAAGAAAGTGATGTGGTAATATAGCTACTTACTAGTACTCCGGATACATAAAACGGTTCGACCATGTCGCTACACTGTTTGGCCTGCCTCGTCTCACATCCAAACCTGGGCGCCTGGGTCATGCCTAGCGTGTCGTCCATTAGAGCAATGTATAATGGTTGATAAGATAGTCTTATCTTAAGTCTTGCATTTAATTTAGAGATGACAAAAAAATTGTCTACAATGGGTCATCTCTTAGCCTTATCTTCAATAACTAGCCATTCCTAAAAACGTGGTGAGACATATTGTGCTAAGAGATCATCTCTTGTCTTCTCTTAAATAAGAGAAGACAAGCCTTTTCTTAAGAGTTCCCTCCCCTCCACCTCATCATTTATCCTATGTGGCACTCCTAAAATAGCACCATTGTACATGTCCTTAGTGGCGATCCC